GCCCAGCTGCTGCCCCTGCCCGGAGATGCAGGGGGGTCAGTGCAGGATGCGCTGCTGCGAGCACAGGGCGCTGCAGAGCCGGGGCCGTGCCGGGGGGGCCAGATCCAGAGCGCTTGCCCCTGGGCTCCTCTGGTGCGCGCAGTCCCGGTCATGTGGCTGGAGCCTGCGAGGGGGGCAGAGCAGGAGCACGCTGGACCAGCCCCGCTCCCCTCCCCAGACCCCGGCCCAGGCTGCCGGGGGCCTTTCCTGCACTCACCCCCCTGACCCCCCGGGTGAGGACAGCTCAGGGTCCCCGGCAGCCCCAACCCCCTCCCTCCACTCCCTGCCCAGGGGCCGTCTTCAGCTCCAGAGCTGAGGGATGGGAAGAAAAAGTAACTTCACCCCCTACCCGCCCCCGGCTCTCAGCGCCCCTGCGCCCGCCCCGCAGCCCCGTGCTGCAGCCCCCCTCCGCACGCGGCCCTGGGCAAGGGCTGCCGGCCGGCCCCGATCAGCGCATGCAGCACCACATTGCAGCACAGAGCAGGAGCTGCATTTCCAAGGTTACAGTACGGAGAGGCTCCGGGTCCCTGGCCCGGCAGGCTGGGAGCAGGGACCTGCCTCTGGCTCTTTCGCCCGAGTCAGCAGAGCTGGGGGCAGGGAGCCCAGCTCCGGAGGGAAAGTTGCGCCGCAGGACGAGGCGGGACGCGACACCCAGAGTTCGGTGCCTGGGCAGTCACTGCTCGAGGACGAGGATGGGCTGCGAGAGCCGGGCGGGAGGAGGGAGTGTGGGAGGGATGGGGGGGGCAGGCGATTTTAAAGGAGAACAGGCAGGCGTGCGAGCCTGGCTCCGGGGCTCTGAGGGATGCTGGCAGTGCCGGCTGCTCTACCCGTGGGGGCCAGGGTGCAGGATGCCGTCATGTCCCCGGGGTTGCTCGTGCGATGGGGTCCTGGGGGCCGACATGGGGGGAGCCGGGTCCTGCCCCCAAGAGCTCGCAGCCTGCACGGGCCGGCGGAGCAGGGGGACCCGTTCTCCCTCCCCGCAGCGGGGACCAGGGGTGGAGAGATGCTGGGATGCACCCAAGGGCACACGGGGAGTCAGTGGCAGAGGGGCACCGAGTCCCAGTCTCCTGACTCCCAGCCCTGTCCCACCTGAGCCTAGCAGCACTGGGACTCGGGGTCTGCTTTTCCCAGGGCCCCCTGCATAGACCAGGCAGAGCCAGAGCATCCCCTGCCAGCCGGCTGGCCCAGATCTACCCCCACGCTGCTAATGCCCGAGCTTCGTGGGCGCAGTCCCAGGGGCAACCAGCAGGAGGCAGCAGGGTCCCCTTGAGGGTGGGTCCAGGCCTGGGCTGGCAGGGGCTGGGGCTGCCCTGGCCTCTCCCAGCCCTTCCCAGGGCTGGGACTGGGGCCCAGGCACCGCCCCGCACCCAGCGCAGCCCGGGAGCCCCTGAGCTGCTGCAAAGGCTGCAGCCTTGGCAGGGGAAGGCCAAGGCTGCATTGCAGGGGGGCAGGCCTAGTGGTCAGTGCCGCAGGCCGGGGGCAGGATGCCTGGTCTGGCTGGGGGTGGGAGTCGGGCCTCCTGGGATCGGCTGCAGGGCTGGGAGGGTCTCGCCTGGCGGTGGCATCCAGCTGTGATGGGACTGGAAGGCCCCTCCTGCCCCTCGGCTCCGGCCGGCTGCTCTGGGGCTGGCGTGGGCAGCTCCCTGGCCTCCTGCCCCCGCTGGCTGACTGGCACGTTCGCCTCCTCTGCCTCCCACCAAAGGCCTCGAGGCCCCACTCCCTGGTGCTCTGCACCCCTGCCCCCTGGCTTAAATAAGGACGTTCAAGGGAAATTCATTCACACATGCGCAGGCACCCAGAGCCCTGCCAGGCACGCAGGCCCTTGTCCTCTCACACACGCTGGCACATGCACACATGTGTACATACATAAGAGCACGCACATGCACTCGCACACTTCCCCCGCGGGCTGGCCAGGGCTGGGCTGGCCGGGATCGGGGCCCTCTGAGCAGCGCCCCCCCGGCACTCCCCTGTGCAACAGTCCAGCCACATGGGGGTTAAAGCAGTTTTATTTGTAAACAGTTTGTGTCGGTAGGGTCCCCAGTGCAGGGAACAAGCCCCCCCCCGGGCCCACGGGCCTTTGCCAGCAGCCGAGATGGACCAAGAAACTCCTGCGACGGGCAAGCTCTGCAGAGCTGGGGACGCAGCTGCGGCCAGGCTGGCAGGAGCCAGGTCTGCCTGAGGCCGAGCTGGACCAGGGGCTGCAGATCCAACCCCCGCAGCATGCCCAGGGCCCAGGGCTTCTGCCTGCACCCGAGCGGGAAGCCCACATGGGATCCCCCGAGCCCGACCCTGCGGAGACCTCCGAGTCACAGCCCCATTGCAGAGGTGCAGCGCCAGCCCGGCGGCCGGTCCCTCCTGCAGGGGAGCTGGGAGTGTTGGCAGTGCTGTTGTGGCGAATGCCGGCGAGGGCCTCGGCCTGGCAAGGGGCAAAGGGGGCGTCTCGTGGCAGGGCGGAGCAGATGGGGCAAGACCCAGCTCCGGCGGGGTAGAAGCAAAACCTTCCCTGCCCCCGCCCCATCACAACCTGGCCTCCTCCACCAAACCAGGCCCCGCGCAGCATCCGGGCTGCCCGGTCCAGGCTGCTCGGCCCCCGGGAAGGCTGCGCCGGAGCATCTCGCTGCCGGGGCTGGGCCCGCGTCCCTCCTCACTGGCGCTTCTTGTCCGTGGGCAGGGGGCCGGGCACGGGCGGCTGGAAGAAGCCGGGGCTGCAGAGGCAGCGGTAGGCCAGGAGGTGCGGCCCCAGCGTGTACAGGCTGTTGGCGAGGAGGACGCTCCACCAGGCCTCCTCGGGCGTGCGGTACGGGTACGGCGTGCGCTGGTGCAGGGAGGCGCCGACGTGCGAGAACTGGGCCTGCGAGAAAGGAGGCAGTGCTGTCCCCGTGCCCCTCACTTTTCCACCCCTGCCCGCCTGCTCCGAGGACCGCGCCGGGTCGGGGGGCTGGCCTGCACACGCCCGGGCAGGACGGGGCATTCGTGGCCCCGCGGGATGCAGCTAGGGCCCCGGCTGGACCCACGGGGCTGCACCTCGCCCCCAGCCCGGCCACGGCTCCGTGGACCCCGGCTGGAGTCTCTTTCCATCAAGCTCAGCTCGTTGCCAAGGAAACCGCTCCACACGCTAACTCCGGGATGGGGGGATCCGCGGCGACCGGGGCTGGATGTGCCTCGGTCCAGAGCACGGCCCTCAGGCACCAGCAAGGGACGTGCCAGCCCCGTGCCACCCTGCCCAGGGCAGGAACGCGTCCGCGAGGCAAACCCCAGCCCAGCCCTGTCCCCGGTACCTGCGCGATGGCGCCCGCGAACACCAGGGCCCAGTCCGGCATCCAGGTGCAGCCGGGCCACACCAGCCCGTAGATGCACAGGCCGAAGTACGGGAGGAAGTAGAAGGTGTAGACCAGCATCTGGGAGCAAGGGGAGAGTCAGCGGTGCTGAGCAGGATGTGCCCAGGAGCGCAGAGAGCCCAAGGCAGAGATGGGCGCGGACCAGCCGGGGTCCAACGTGCCCTGGACGGGGGGAGCCACACACCGCGGCTCTGCCAGGACCCAGGCTACAAGGGTGTTTAAACTCCTCTGCCCCGCTCCCCCGGGGCACAGCGCCGGGCTGCCTCCGCGACCGGCTGCCAGGGGTGCAGGGCGGAGAGGGACAGGGACAGGTGGGTCCTTCCCTGCAGAGGCAGCAGCAGGGAGCTCAGCGCAGCGGGGCCGTGCGCCCGTGCCAGCAGCTCCCTGCACTGCTGCCTGGCACCGAGCCTCTGCTTGGCTGGGGACAGTTCAAGGTCAGAGCCGAGAGCAGCTGCGTTTGCATCCCAATCATTGCCGCGAAGCATCTTGTTAGCAAGGCCTCCTCCCTCCCTGGCTCCCCGGACACCAGCCTTGGCAGCCCTTGCTGAGGCGGCGCAGCGCACAGCTGACAGGACCTGGCTTCCCTGCGCCCCCGCGCCCCCCGGGCAGGAGGCCTGACAAGCAGCTGCCTTTGCAACCGAGCTCGTTAGCCAGCGGGCCAAGCCAAGGCAGAAAGCCCCCCGCCCCCCGCCCAGCGCTCAGGACAGGGAGTGCCCGGCGGAGACCCTGCCCTGGCGGCTGCGAGCCCCGCGCTCACCTGCACTTTGGGGTAGGCGACGGGGTCCCGCAGGTACGGCTCGTACTGGTACATGTAGTTGAAGCACGACTCGGACGGGCAGTCCAGCACCACCTGGGGCACGAGGCAGAGGGCATGGGGCTGCCAGCTCAGCCCGGCCCCCTGTGACAGTGACACCCTGCCCAGCCCCGCACTGCCCGCCAGAGCCCCTTCCCCAGCCCTCCCCGCAGCCCGGCCAGCTCCCACCATCCCTACCAGCCCTCTGAAGAGCTGGAAGGCTCCAGCCGTGAGCAGGAACAGGATCAGGCCCAGGTCCAGGGGCCGCCGGTGCAGGCCTTTGCGCTGCTCCTCTGCCACCTGGTTGAGAGGAGTTGCTGTGGGTGCAGCCGCCAGGCGCTGGCCCTTCGAGGAGAGCTTGCAAGGGCCACAGGCAGAGGCCCCTTTGCTTGGCTTCTCCTCCCTGCGCCGGCCCGGCGTTGGCTCTCAGCAGCCAGGAGGAGGATGTGGCGAAGGGGCAGGATGGGGCCCACACCCCGGGGTGCAAACAGCCTCCCGCAGCACTTACCTTGTCAGCTGTGCAGCAGGGCAGGGGCTTGGGCTGCTGGAAGAGCCTCTGCCCGGCCCAGATGGGGAGCAGGAGGTAGGGCAGGTTGAGCAGGAAGGCAGGGCGGATCTCTGAGCTGTACTTCCCTGTGGGACGAGAGGAGAAGCCCGGGTTGTGCCTGGAGCCACCGGCCCCAGAGACCGGCAGAGCGGGAGCCGCAGGGCAGGCACCCAGGGGCGCGCGTCTCCTGCATCTCCAGTGGCTGGAACAAGGGCCTCTGCCGGCCCCCAAGAAGCAGGCCCGTTGGTGCCGTCGCTGGCATGGACCTGGCTGCCCAAGGGCGACCTGGACAGGTGCGACGGGGCTGGGGATCATCGGCAGGCGCCCCTTACCTATCAGGTTCCCCGGCAAGAAGACGATGATGCTCATCATGATGCCCACCCTGCCCCCCCCGGCCCCCACCGCTGGGCTCCTACCACATCCCCAAGATGCCCCCACCCCGGCGCTGAGGGCACCTGCGGGACAGAGCTCCCCCAGGGCGAAGAGCAGCCTCCCCTCACACACCCACTCCAGGATAGGGGTCCCCAGCACTTACGTTGGTGCCACTCACCGCGGGTTTGTGCCCCGATCCCTACTGCCCCGGGACCCAGAGCGGACACACACCGGCTTACCCCAGAGCAGCAACCCAGGGTTGCAATGATCGCAATGCCCAGGTGGCAAGAGCAGGTACCAGCCAGCTACTCCGGCCCTTGGGGCTGCGGACACATGAACTTGCCCCGGAGGAAAGCTACCCCAGGTGCGCTGGGGGCTGACTTATCACAGGATAAGGCTCTGTGTCGTGTGTGCTCCGCTCTTACCCCAGAGCAAGTCAGATCACTCTGGGGCAAGGACGCCGTGCACCCACACCCTCAGGAAGCTACTTAATGCCCTGAAGACACCTCCTCCCCTGCGGGTCTGCCCTCCCCAGCCCCTACCTTTGGTCAATGGCTGCGACCATGGCGAGGTAGAGCAGGTAATGGATGACACCGTCCCAGTAGCAGATCATGATGCCGTAGGCGGTGCGTAGGTACGGCTCACCCTGGCGAGGGGAGAGGCACCGCGTCACCCCCGCCCCAGGCATGATGCAGCCAGGAGGCCGCATGGGCACTCCAAGGGTGCTGGAGATGCCGCGGCTCTGCTCAGCGCCCAGGCCCCGGGCCCCAGGCCCCCGGGCTGCTTGCATGCCCCTGCCCCTCCCCGTGGAGCGCTGGGAGCGCCAGGCCATTTAGGGGAGGGAGCTGCATCCACATCCACATCCACATTTTAAATCCACCCCCCAGGATGAAGCAGGCACTGGTTTAGGAGGGGATGGAGGCTGGGAGACACATCTGGATGGGGTGGGGGGGATTGGGCTTGCAGCATCTGGTGCAAATCCTGCTCGGAGCAGGGTGCGGGAGGGCAGAGGCCTGGGACAGGGCAGCGCCCAGCTGGGCAGTCTGGGGGTCAGCACCTCCGTCAGGTAGAACTCCATGTAGCCCTGGATGTAGCCGTCCTGCTCCAGCGAGATGATGAGGTCGATGACGGAGGTGAAGGAGAACACGGTGAACACTGCGGGGCAGGAGGAGCAGGTGGCGGATTCAGCTCTGTGGGCGCCTGCCCCCACCCCCACCCCGGACTTGCAGCTCAGGGGGACCCCAGCAATCGCACAGGGACAAATCCCTCCCCCAGCACGTCCCGGGGGCTGCCCAGCAGCAAGGGAGGGCTCCGGTCCTGAGGCCCCCACCAGCTGGAGGTGGTGGGGCAGGGCAGGGGTCTCCGGGCATCTCCGACTGGCTTGGCCAGCTCTGATGTGGGTCAGTGCTGTGTCCTGCCCCCCGGCTGAGCCCATGTGCAGCCGGGGGGCTGTGGCCCGAGGGTGCCAGGGGGGCATTGACTCACCATAGTAGAGAGGATCGTGGCTGGCGCTCCCTCCGCCCAGGACAGACACCACGCAGAGCACGGCCAGCAGCACCAGCACCCCCGTCACTGCCAGCGCCGCCGGCCTGGAACCAAGCAGACAGGGCCGGGGTGAGCCTGACCTCGGGGGTGAAAGCCTCTGCACCCTCAGCATCCAGCGGCCCAATTCTCTCTGCCAAAGGAGTGCTGGGCTCCAAGTTGTGTTGGCATGAAGAGTTTGGCCCTGGTGCCTGCCCCACCTGCACCTGCCAACTCTGGGGCAGTCTTGGCAGCAGGCGCCAGCCGGGCTGGACCCGTGGGGCCGGAGCACCGAACAGCAAGGGGAACCCAGCCAGACTGGGCCCGCGGCTGCTTAAACCAGAGCCAGGAGCGGAGGCCAAGGAGGCTTTGCCCTGAAAGCCTTCAGCCCTGCTGCCAAAACAAGGGGACACGAACGCCACTGCTGAGTCTGCAGGCGGGGGTTAGCCGGGCAGCCTGAACAGCCCCCACCCCGGCCATGCTCTCAGTCCCCAGCAAAAGCAGAGGAGGTGGGAGCCAGGCTGCAAGGCCGGCGTGCAAGATGCTGCCCCACCCCAGCCGACCCGCCTGACAGCATGCCCACGACAGACCTCGCCACCCACGCAGCCGCGGGAGAGGCAGCCTCAGCCCCTCGTAGGGGCTGCTCCTGTTACCGCGTGCACCCAAGATCAGGTCCTGTCCTGTCCTGTCCCTGGAGCTCCTCCCTGCCATGCAATAAGGAGGCAGTGAGAGCAACCCGCCCTGTGCCTCCTTGTCTGCCTGCTCTGCAGGGCTCTGAGCTTCCCTGGGCCAGGGGGTGCCTCCACTTGCTCCACAGCCCCTGCTGCGGCATCCTTGTCCGGGCGGGGGCTGGAGCACAGAGGGCCAGGGGAGCCGGGGCCTTGTCCAGAGCGCCCAGGTCATTTGTCAAAGCTGGGCATGAAACAGCGACAGGCTCAGTGAACTGACATTTAAAACACTGCTGTGAAATGGGATTAAATCTTAGAACTGCTTTCACGGGTAATTGCTAAATATGCAAATAAAGGCAGGATGTGTAAATAAGGCCCCCGGGTGCGCCAGGAGCGGAGCGGAGCGGAGCCGGGCTTGGACCGGCCCCACGGGACACGAGGGGCCTGCGGCCCGCTCCCGGCACACGTCCCCGCGGCCAGGAGCCCCTCAGCCCTGCCCCCCGGCT